GCCCAAACCAGGTTTATGCGACCACGTGCCTCTTTTGGGCGACATTTTACTTGCTAGAAAAATCAAAATTGAGATGAAGAGGGTGACGGAGGCGCTGAAGAAGGCCTCCGAGAGCGACGTCCCACGTTTTACCTCTGGGTCATTTATCATAGGAACGGTACTGTTAGTGTTTATTGTTTGTTGTACTTGTGTGTATTTATGTTGTAAAATCCGTCGTCGCTTTAGAGAGGACGACCACAACCCAGGCTAGGCTGAGTCGACCCTAGGGGAATTAGAGTCACTAGCCACAGCAGAACCAGAGTCACCAACCGATGCAGAATCGGAGTCACCAGCCGAAGCGGAGCCGGAATCACCAGTCACAGCGGAAACGGAGTCACCAGCTGCAACAGAACCAGAGTCACCAGCCGCAGCAGAACCAGAGTCACCAACCGATGCAGAACCAGAATCACCAACCGATGCAGAACCGGAGTCACCAGCCGAAGTGGAGCCGCAGTCACCAGCCGTAGCGGAACTGTAGTCACCAGCCGAAGCGGAACCAGGGTCACAAGCCGCAGCGGAACCAGAGTCACCAAACGCAGCGGAACCGGAGTCACCAGCTGCAGCGGAACCAGATTCACCAGCCGAAGCGGAACCGAAATCACCAGCCGCAGCGGAACTGGAATCACCAACCACAGTGGAACCGGAATCACCAGCCGTAGCGAAACAGCAGTCCAGCCAAAATCAAATCACGAGGAGCGTTAAAATACCCAAAAAATTTCACGGCACATTCATTGGTCACAAGGGCGCCCATATTAAACAAATAGGCCAAAAATACGGAGTGTTGCTGAAACTCAACACCTATAAAAATAATATCAGTATCACCAGTACAGACATATAGCGGGTAGAGGAGGCCAAACGCTACATTGAAGACTTAATCCTCCAATGGTCACTCGCTTACTCCCTAGCCACAGCGGAACCGGAGTCACCAGCCGCAGCGGAACCTGGGTCACCAGCCACAGCGGAACGGGAATCACCAGCCGTCGCGAAACAGCAGTCCAGCCAAAATCAAATCACGAAGAGCGTTAAAATACCCAAAAAATTTCACGGAGCATTCATAGGTCACAAGGGCGCCCATATTAAACATATAGGCCAAAAATACGGAGTGTTGCTGGGACTCAACACCAATAAAAACCATGTCAGTATCACCAGTACAGACATATAGCGGGTAGAGGAGGCCAAACGCTACATTGAAGATTTAATCCTCCAATGGTTATTCGGTAACCCCCCGATGTGATAGAATGGTTAATATTTTTCTCTTTTATATATAAATATAGATATATATGTAGTATTTCGTTCTATCTATTTATCTATCTACACATCCCACCCCCCCTCCCCCACACACACACATGTAACCAGTATAATTTACATACTGTTTAATGTAGAGTAAGTAATTAATAACTTATAACTATGGATGTATAATTATGAACATTAATTATTCAATGACCTGAAGAGGGTAAAGGTTGCTCAGGGGACTAAAACATCCTGCAGATGTTTAGTCTTATCCAGTTGCCGAAGTATGATGCAACTCTCTCTCCAGGTAGTAGGTAATTCTTGAAATACTTAATAGATTGCTCATATGTGGTAATTGGATACTTTGCTTCACACTTGCAATGGTTCAAGTATGTTAGATAGTTAGATAAGTAATATGTAGATAATGGCACCGCCAGTTAGGACTGATTCATGGGTCATTGGAATCATTTACGAGCCGGTTATTTATGCACGTATTGTAAAAACCGCTCAATGTTGTTCGACTTGACATATGTTTAATTACATCACCAGTAACATAAGTTTACTACAACACCAGTACCATATGTTTACTACAACACCAGTACCATATGTTTACTACAACACCAGTACCATATGTTTACTACAACACCAGAACCATATCTTTACTACAACACGAGTACCATATATTTACTACAACATAAGTACCATATGTTCACTACAACACAAGTGCCATATGTTCACTACAACACCAGTACCATATGTTCACTACAACACCAGTACCATATGTTTACTACAACACCAGTACCATATGTTTACTACAACACCAGAACCATATCTTTACTACAACACGAGTACCATATATTTACTACAACATAAGTACCATATGTTCACTACAACACAAGTGCCATATGTTCACTACAACACCAGTACCATATGTTCACTACAACACCAGTACCATATGTTTACTGCAACACCAGTACCATATGTTCACTACAACACAACTGCCATATGTTCACTACATCACCAGTACCATATGTTTACTACAACACCAGTACCATATGTTTACTGCAACACCAGTACCATATGTTTACTACAACACCAGTACCATATGTTTATTACAACACCAGTACCATATGTTTACTACAACACCAGTACCATATGATCACTACAACACAAGTGCCATATGTTCACTACATCACCAGTACCATATGTTTACTACAACACCAGTACCATATGTTTACTGCAACACCAGTACCATATGTTTACTACAACATAAGTACCATATATTCACTACAACACAAGTGCCATATGTTCACTACAACACCAGTACCATATGTTCACTACAACACCAGTACCATATGTTTACTACAACACCAGTACCATATGTTCACTACAACACCAGTACCATATGTTTACTGCAACACCAGTACCATATGTTTACGACAACACCAGTACCATATGTTTATTACAACACCAGTACCATATGTTTACTACAACACCAGTACCATATGTTCACTACAACACCAGTACTATATGTTTACTTCAACACCAGTACCATATGTTCCCTACAGCGCTTAAATTACTAGTTCATATTACTGGTAGACTGTATCTGAGCTAACTAGATTCTTGTCTAAGTTAACACCATTTGGGGTTATGTGTAGCGTGACCCAGAGAAAGACAAATAGGTCTGATAAACGGAATGGCCAAAATTAATAGCAAAAATATACTGGTGGCAATTGTAGCTCTCACTACCTACATGGTAGTTTACCAGTACAGGTCTACAGTTGAAAATGAATTTAAAAATTTGAAAGAACGGCTAGACGAAATTAAAATTCAACAACAAAAATAAAGAGTGAGCCTCTACTACAGAATTTTAAGGGGACTAAAACTTATTAGCCCTGGGATAGGTGAGCTCCCAACCCTATAAAAGCCCAAACCAGGTTTATGCGACCACGTGCCTCTTTTGGGCGACATTTTACTTGCTAGAAAAATCAAAATTGAGATGAAGAGGGTGACGGAGGCGCTGAAGAAGGCCTCCGAGAGCGACGTCCCACGTTTTACCTCTGGGTCATTTATCATAGGAACGGTACTGTTAGTGTTTATTGTTTGTTGTACTTGTGTGTATTTATGTTGTAAAATCCGTCGTCGCTTTAGAGAGGACGACCACAACCCAGGCTAGGCTGAGTCGACCCTAGGGGAATTAGAGTCACTAGCCACAGCAGAACCAGAGTCACCAACCGATGCAGAATCGGAGTCACCAGCCGAAGCGGAGCCGGAATCACCAGTCACAGCGGAAACGGAGTCACCAGCCGCGGCCCAGAACCACAGAGTCACCAGCCAGCAGAACCAGAGTCACCAAATCGATGCAGAACCAGAATCACCAACCGATGCAGAACCGGAGTCACCAGCCGAAGCGGAGCCGCAGTCACCAGCCGTAGCGGAACTGGAGTCACCAGCCGAAGCGGAACCAGGGTCACAAGCCGCAGCGGAACCAGAGTCACCAAACGCAGCGGAACCGGAGTCACCAGCTACAGCGGAACCAGATTCACCAGCCGAAGCAGAACCGAAATCACCAGCCGCAGCGGAACTGGAATCACCAACCACAGTGGAACCGGAATCACCAGCCGTAGCGAAACAGCAGTCCAGCCAAAATCAAATCACGAGGAGCGTTAAAATACCCAAAAAATTTCACGGCACATTCATTGGTCACAAGGGCGCCCATATTAAACAAATAGGCCAAAAATACGGAGTGTTGCTGAAACTCAACACCTATAAAAATAATATCAGTATCACCAGTACAGATATATAGCGGGTAGAGGAGGCCAAACGCTACATTGAAGACTTAATCCTCCAATGGTCACTCGCTTACTCCCTAGCCACAGCGGAACCGGAGTCACCAGCCGCAGCGGAACCTGGGTCACCAGCCACAGCGGAACGGGAATCACCAGCCGTCGCGAAACAGCAGTCCAGCCAAAATCAAATTACGAAGAGCGTTAAAATACCCAAAAAATTTCACGGAGCATTCATAGGTCACAAGGGCGCCTATATTAAAACAAATAGGCCAAAATACGGAGGTTGCTGGGACTCAACACTAATAAAACCATGTCAGTATCACCAGTACAGAGACATATAGCGGTAGAGGAGGCCAAACGCTACATTGAAGATTTAATCTCCAATGGTTATTCGGTAACCCCCGATGTGATAGAATGGTTAATATTTTTCTCTTTTATATATAAATATAGATATATATGTAGTATTTCGTTCTATCTATTTATCTATCTACACATCCCACCCCCCCCCACACACACACACATGTAACCAGTATAATTTACATACTGTTTAATGTAGAGTAAGTAATTAATAACTTATAACTATGGATGTATAATTATGAACATTAATTATTCAATGACCTGAAGAGGGTAAAGGTTGCTCAGGGGACTAAAACATCCTGCAGATGTTTAGTCTTATCCAGTTGCCGAAGTATGATGCAACTCTCTCTCCAGGTAGTAGGTAATTCTTGAAATACTTAATAGATTGCTCATATGTGGTAATTGGATACTTTGCTTCACACTTGCAATGGTTCAAGTATGTTAGATAGTTAGATAAGTAATATGTAGATAATGGCACCGCCAGTTAGGACTGATTCATGGGTCATTGGAATCATTTACCAGCCGGTTATTTATGCACGTAATGTAAAAACCGCTCAATGTTGTTCGACTTGACATATGTTTAATTACATCACCAGTAACATAAGTTTACTACAACACCAGTACCATATGTTTACTACAACACCAGTACCATATGTTTACTACAACACCAGTACCATATGTTTACTACAACACCAGAACCATATCTTTACTACAACACGAGTACCATATATTTACTACAACATAAGTAACATATGTTCACTACAACACAAGTGCCATATGTTCACTACAACACCAGTACCATATGTTCACTACAACACCAGTACCATATGTTTACTACAATACCAGTACCATATGTTTACTACAACACCAGAACCATATCTTTACTACAACACGAGTACCATATATTTACTACAACATAAGTACCTTATGTTCACTACAACACAAGTGCCATATGTTCACTACAACACCAGTACCATATGTTCACTACAACACCAGTACCATATGTTTACTACAACACCAGTACCATATGTTCACTACAACACAACTGCCATATGTTAACTACATCACCAGTACCATATGTTTACTACAACACCAGTACCATATGCTTATCGCAACACCGGTACCATATGTTTATTGGCTAAATACCCAGTACCATATGTTTATTACAACACCAGTACCATATGTTTACTACAACACCAGTACCATATGATCACTACAACACAAGTGCCATATGTTCACTACATCACCAGTACCATATGTTTATTACAATCGATCAGCACTATATGTTTACTGCAACACCAGTACCATATGTCTACTAAGCAACACAGTGCCATATGTTCACTACAACACCAGTACCATATGTTCACTACAACACCAGTACCATATGTTTACTACAACACCAGTACCATATGTTCACTACAACACAACTGCCATATGTTCACTACATCACCAGTACCATATGTTTACTACAACACCAGTACCATATGTTTACTGCAACACCAGTACCATATGTTTACTACAACACCAGTACCATATGTTTATTACAACACCAGTACCATATGTTTACTACAACACCAGTACCATATGATCACTACAACACAAGTGCCATATGTTCACTACATCACCACCATATGTTTACTACAACACCAGTACCATATGTTTACTGCAACACCAGTACCATATGTTTACTACAACATAAGTACCATATGTTCACTACAACACAAGTGCCATATGTTCACTACAACACCAGTACCATATGTTCACTACAACACCAGTACCATATGTTTACTACAACACCAGTACCATATGTTCACTACAACACCAGTACCATATGTTTACTGCAACACCAGTACCATATGTTTACTACAACACCAGTACCATATGTTTATTACAACACCAGTACCATATGTTTACTACAACACCAGTACCATATGAAAATGAGGCAATGACACACATGATAGCTGGCGGTGCAGGCGGTACTCCAGCCGCTCTTTCTCGTGATGTCCTTCGTCGGGTACTAAAACCTCCGCGAGTATATTGTACAACACCCACCGAATACCAGGGCATTTTATTACCTTCTCTCCGCGGTCGCTTACCAACTTGAGAATCTTAATGAAGAACAAATTATCCATAATGATTTTAAATGCGACAACATCATAGTAGAGGAGTTGGACAATGAAAATAAAATAAATATAATTGACCTTGGGCTAAGCGCTATCTCTGGCGGTTATTTGTCCCTGAGCCCCGAGGATGAGGAGGTTTGTCCCTGGATATGCCCCCTCATATTCCGGGGAGGACCATGCACCCCACCACCGACCTGTACTCCTTCCTCCACTTGGTGGAGGTTTGTACTGATTCTATAATAGCCGACAAAACGGTGAAGAAAATCATAATGATTTTTGTCGCTGACAGAAAAAGACGAATTGTCGACGACAAGTACTGCCCCGACTACCAGAGTGTACTTGCCGATTTAAAAACAATATTAAGAGCATGATCGGTGCCACTTATGGTCATCCGTGAAATAAACCCTTGATAAAATCATGGTATAGATATACAAGTTACAGGTTTGCATAAAGATACAGCACAGGTAGGCTCACCGATTCCATCTACGTCACTTACCGGGTCGTGTACAAGACCCATTGTTTAATACAGGGTTGAGCAAAATGTCGATTGTTTTACCCATTAACAGGTGCAGTACACGGCATCACTGTCCAACAGCATTGTTATATCCATTATTGGCAGCAACATTCATGACATGTTTTGGTCTTTGTTTCCATCAAGGAAAGAAACATTTAATAACGTCGCCAAAAATGATGCCACTTACATAAACATCCGCCAAGTTATGTAGATTTATCACATCACATCAGTAAAGTAAGTTTTTAAATGTTATATAATCTCTCTCTCTCTCTCTCTCTCTCTCTCTCTCTCTCTCTCACACACACAAACACATTCTCACAAAAAACTCAAACAAAAAACAAACAAAAAGTTAAAAATAAAAACAAAAAAAAATCTAATACACAGACAATAAATTTATAAACTTCCATCACACAAACAAACAAACAACGAAACAAAGAAACAAACAAACTAATAAACAAACAAACAAACAAACACTTGCCTGCAGCTACACATTAAAAAAAATTCGTCGACCAATCTCCAGGTGATCTTTTCAACTCGACAAAAAAAAAATAAAAAAATAAATAAAAAAATATTTGTAGGAAGCAGGTGAAGGCAGGAAGAGTTTTATTGCTGTAGAACCTTCCTCCCGCCAGCTTCCTCCCGCCTCCCTCCTCCCGTTATCAAAGACAATTTTTAATGAAAAGCTCAGGTAGGGAGGAGTGGGGAGGTGGGAAGGTGGGGCGTGAGGAAGGGTCAAGAGATTAGAGGTGAGGAAGTGAGGATCATGGGAGTGAGTGTCGGTGGGGAGGTAGGTAGGAGTGGTGGGGTGGATAGGTGGGGAGGAAGGTGAGGAAGTGGGAGTGAGGTGTAGGTGGGGAGGTAGGTAGGAGTGGTGGGGTGGATAGGTGGGGAGGAAGGTGAGGAGGTGGGAGTGAGGTGTAGGTGGGGAGGTAGGTAGGAGTGGTGGGGTGGATAGGTGGGGAGGAAGGTGAGGAGGTGGGAGTGTGGTGTAGGTGGGGAGGTAGGTAGGAGTGGTGGGGTGGATAGGTGGGGAGGAAGGTGAGGAGGTGGGAGTGAGAGTGTTGGAAGGGGAGAGAAATGGGGAGGGGGGGGGGAGGGGAGGAAAGGTAGGGTAAAGTTGACAAGACTGTATCATGATTCACCTACAGCAACAGAGATAAGGACGCGTTCTCCAGGTGTCAACTAACTGCTGATCGGAGTACGTATCTAACTGTCTCACTTTAGCTACGACACAACGAGAGTTTTTCAATTCGGTTAGGTTAGGTTAGGTTAGGTTATATGGCAATGGATGAAGTTAGATTAGTTTATTTCGATACATTAGGTGAAAAATAAGGTTAGCTCAAGTTAATATTGATTAGTTTAAATAAAGTTAACACAGATCAAGTTAGCATCGGTTTCCTTTATCATAATCATAGTGGAGTTAGTGGGCGGGTGGTGGGAGGTGGTGAGTGCACCTTTACACACTGGCAGGCAGCCTCATCAGGGAGGGTCGGTCTACCTGTAGTTCACCTGTCAGTCTACATTATCAGCCGCAAGACAACAACACTTGGCGGGAGAGGTGTTGGGTGTACCTGGAAACACTCGCATGGCTGATGTAATAGACAGGTAGATAGTTTTATAAATACCTGAGCTGGGTGTTGATGTGTGTGAGAGAGAGAGAGAGAGAGAGAGAGAGAGAGAGAGGAATTGTTTTCAGAGACATCCATACACAGAAAAAATTGGGCTCTCTCTCTCTCTCTCTCTCTCTCTCTCTCTACGAGGTGAAAAAGTGAGGGACTGTGCTACAACCATTACAGTTATTGGTGCTGCCTACTCAGCGAGATACTGCCCTCCTCCCTCTCTCCTCCTCCTTCTGCATCTCTTCCTCCTTCCCCACCTTCTCCTCCTCCCCAACCTCTTCCTCCTCCTCCACCTCTTCCTCCTCCCCCACCTCCCCACCAACACTATACGCTACGCTGCCTACTTCTCTCCTTCTCCTACTTCTCTCCTTATCCTACTTCTCTTCCTCTTTTGCCTATTGCTT